AATCATTGAAGAATGGAGATTCTGTAAAAAGCAGCACTCTCACAGAAGAAACCAAGAATAGTTAACACACTTTTACGTTTTACTTGCATGCTGCTGTGCCTGAAAAGGCTCAACCAAATGCAAAAATACGGGGTTTTTTATATGTAAAATACATTTTTCTGTAGAAAATAATATGCACGCACAATTTCATTACACACACAGATCCTTCCTGTTTCAAAACTCCAGATTTCCCTCCCTCTGTGGTCAGGTTCTTCCCTGACCGTGTCTTCTCACCCTCGTGAAGTCCACTTCTCGCCGTATGGCACGGCAACCACAGCGAGACAATGCAAGCAAAGAGGCTGCCTTGCAACAGTCACTTCCCCCATACACTGGCACTCCAGTTAAGCCACCTGACTTCCTTCTGGTGCAGACATTCTTACAGCTAAAAGGATTTTAAGAAGTTGGATATAAACCTGGACTTCACTGAAAGATAGGGATAAATCTGAAAAAGGGTTTTCTTAATACTTTAACTTTAAAGGCAACTTTCAGCTGCCCAGTTGTGTTTGCTCACATTCAGTACCAACGATCAGCTTTCCAGATACCAGCATATTTTCTGTAAACAGGATTTTAAAATAGAAATACTTTATACTTTCATATGTATTATATATACTATATAATACTTACACTTTACCTGAAGCTTTAAGTGGTGTTCCTTGGGCATCTAGTGGCACTGTGAGGTTATACAGCTAGTCACTAACTAGTTACAGCTAGCTGAAGAACAGCTCAACTCTCCTGCAATGTCTACAGCTAAACTTGAATAAAATACCGAGATGCCCTACTGTAAGCCTTTTATTTTTCCAAATCAAAAGCATTTTATTTCCTACTTAAAAGTGCTCAGTCGATTCTAAAAGGAATACTAAGCCTGGTTCTGCTTTGCATTGCACCTTTTAAATATCTTCAGAAAACTGGGTTTCCACACCCTCTCCCAAAGTGCAGTCAAGTCATCTGGGTACCCTGTGCAAGCCACACACAAACACACTAGCACCCAGCACCAGCCAAAAAGAACCTCAAACAGCATTTAATTTAATATAATCTTATTATAATAGTAGGATTGGCCTTTGTCAAAATTGATGTGACACATTTTTCTTATTGTTTCATTGCAGATATAACTTACCAGGAAAAGGCTTGGCAACAATGATGGATCCTGTAAGAATCTCAAGAGTGAATTCACGATGATTACTACAAATGCTGATTTTGTAACTGCAAGAAAATGTTGAGAGTCTCCATTTTAACAACTTTGTATTTTATGTTCTAAACCATATGGGATTTTTTTCTGTTCCATTTTACCATAGTAAACAAGAATATTTCAAAAATTCCTAAGTTTTTCCTAACATTTACTTTTTGTTTTTAAACACAGAAGTAAAAGGCATCGGCCCATGCCTTGTGGTTTAGAAACTGAAAAACAATTCTACTGGCTTACTAAATTTGGCATCACAGCAAGCTAGTTATTTTGCAAGTTGGTTTTACCAAAATATTTAGTGTTTCTTAAGTTGCGTGTGTGCACTGCAGATTACACAACTGTATACTTCGGCTAACTTGTTTCTTATCAAAAAGTTGAAGCAAACATACATCGTCCCTTCAAATAAAACGGGAAATTTCTTTTAAAGACCATCTAAAAAGAAAACCACTGGCATCAGAACAGTCTAGCTCTGTTTATCCAACGACAAGTTGGCAAAAGCCTTTCAACTAGTCATGCATCCAATACCTGCTATTCTCCCTCTTTTGTTACTGAAAATTAACATCAAGGATGCTGAGCCATGAGCGTATACTGGGAAACTTTTTATGTCAAAGACATTGTTCATAACCATCTCAAGCACCTTTTCTTTTTGTCCCATTCTGCACCTCATCAGGTTGAGACCCACACCCAAACTGCTTCTTCACTTAAAACAAAAAGCCAAAGAAAAACCTCACAACTTGGTATTTGGTTCATCTACACCCAACCAATACAATGTTTTTGTGGAACATTTATTACACTAATTGCTGGACAAACACTTTTTTGTGGTCATGGACCACGTTAGTATTCCCATGTAATAAGACAGACAACAAGAAATGAACCTTAAGAAAGTGGTGTTTGGTGCAATACACAGAGACCAAGAGCAGATGCAAGAAATACAGAGGATAATTTCCAAATTTAAGTTCACCTGTGGATAGTGCTCAGCTTCTTAAGAGCTATAGGTGTAAAATACCCAAACAGATTAAGTGATATTATTGCTTTCTAAAATTGCACAGTGATATTGTACGGCAGTACACCTTTTTCTTGAGCAAATAAATATTCTTTGGCTTTTCATGACACAAACTTCTATAGTAAAGGAGGGAATGGAAGGTTTGTCCAGGGCCGGAAGGTTTCCAAAGTAGTTTTGCAAGATTACTATACACACACACACACATATATATATAAATTCACTGCTGCAGTCAGTAATAGCTAAGCTTAAATTTCACTATGATAAAAATCTTGCTTTGCTCATAGTGCAATGTGAAAGCTAATAGACCTGCCCATCACTCCCTATTTAGCTACGTGGAGTGGCAACTTCTAAATTACTTAATTAAAACAGCAAGACTGTAATTTGTCTGTACGTCCTATGTGTGGCACTATGTCACAACTGCCCTACGTGAATGGATTGTTAATTTTTTTTTAAACAAATACAAATCTCAGTAAAAGAGACTAATTATCTTTTCATCTTTTTCAATATTCACTTTACAAATTTTTAGCAGAACAGCTGTGTGTTTGCACCTGCACTTTATGAGGTAATAGTGATTATGTCACAGTGTTTAGAAGTGTGGCCATTAGTACTTACCAGATAACACATTGCTCAGATTATAGCATAAAGTGATACCAAACCATCTTTAGTCAATCTTAGTGCACAAGGCACTAAGCTTTTCTTTTGACTTTTGTGAGCAAGATTTCGTGCGTTTGTAAAGACCTATTACACACACATATTTGCCGTTTAAAATGACTCGTTTATGACACACACAGCAATGAAAACTATATCCACAACTGGTAAGGTATTGTTTTAGCGAAACAAGAACTTACCCCTTTGAAGAAGAATACTTGACAAACACCACTCGCAAACTGCTGCACCAGTATCTACTGGAGTTTCCACCGGCACCCATCCCTCTAACTAGAGTGTCCTCACAGAGCTAGTAACTGGAAGTTACACAAGGCCAACAACAGGCTAGCTTTCTGTCTACCACCTACAATTTTTGGATTCACATTTTCAGTTTAATATTCACATCCTGAGCCTACCCAAGAGCTCAGGCAGACCTACAGCATGAAGCCCCATACTAGCTTTATAGGTAAAAAATGAGATGTATCATCCAGAGTTACTATCAGGTCTCCGATTCTGAACGTCCTTTGGACAACAAGCAGAGAAAATACATTACTGGAATCAGGGGGAGAAAACTGCTTAGAAATCTAATTAAAGAGAAATTTTAGACTATTACTTAAGACATCATTATACTGTTTATACAGGCTGAAAGCTGCTGTTTTCCTTAACAAAAGGAAGGGGAAAAAGCCTAGAAATTAAGAGTGGATTCTCAATCATAATAACAATTAACATTGTGAATGCTGCCAAATTTCAAATGAAGAACAAGTGTGTGTAATCTGTAAACCAAGGACTGATATCAGCAAATGTAGAGCAAAACCACCTTGTATCACTACCTCAACAAGAGAGGCCAGCCTAGGAAACCGATTCTTTTAGGCATTTATACTTCATTATTAGAGATGCACACAACAACAGAAAAAATAGTATAGATATCTAAATATAAGTATCACTGCTCGATTACAAAACCCTAAAGAGTTTTAAAAATAATACATAGTTGTGTAGTTGGTAAATGTTTCAAGGACAGATGGGTTAGGGATAGGTAAAAGATAAGCAGCCGTTTCAAACCTTCTCCCTCAAATTCTCCCATCTATTGAGAGAATAAAGAAACCTGAGTTTGAAATATTCCAAGATCACCTTACTCCTCAGGTGCACGCATGAGAGTCCACAGTATGATTCTTCTCCCCAGTGGCAAGCACCAAACCAAGTATGTAGGGTAAACAGCCAAGTGATTATCCACCCACATCTGTTAATGAATTACAGGCATCTCAGCAGCGGAGATGCGCTGCTATCATTGCACCAATAAAATGCTTAAAGCTAGGGTCCTAAACCAAAACTGTCATTACGTTAGTTACCAAGTACTCGCCATGCCTATGGGTGCTTCAACTGTAGCATCAGTGAAGAAGAGTTTATTATTGGATGGGAAGACCATCAAAGCAGAGTTGAGCTACAGCTCCAGAATCTTTATGGATTTGAACTACTTTTGATTGAGCCATCAAGGTCCCCTGGCTCATATCACTTCTTCTCGCTCCCAGACGACTGGGAATTCAGATTATTTAGCTGCTTGGCTCAGGGTTTTAAATCAGAGATCCATTTTTAAAATCGTTTCAGCTGTACATTTTTTTGAGAGGCACTAAGAGGTAATCTACAATTTTGAAAAAGTGTGGTTGGTATATAGGCACCTTCACAGACGCATTAACATCAGTTTGCTGTTGCACAGGACAGAATTTACACATCAAAACTGAACAATTTGATTTATTTAAAATTCACCTCAAAATGCATTGTGTTTAGTTTCTTTTTTAAAATGAACATTCAAAGCATCAAAATATTACTAATTTAAAAAGAACTTCTGTTAAGAATAAGGTAATTTACATACTGTAGATTGTGGCTGTGAGGGGAGAGAAACAACCAATGGTAGATTAGGCACAGTACTAAGGCCAACATGTCAGAAACAACACAGCTCTATGCTCGACTTTTAAATGATCTGGACAAAATAAAACAATTGGGCAGGAAAATAAAACCAACCACTTACTTGAGGGTGTTTGTGTAAAAACAAAAGTGTTAGTAAGTTTTCTATCTAGACCTAACTCATTCACGTATTTAAAGAACTCTATCTTCTTCCAAATAACAAAAAAATGTTTCTAAACCAAGGCAGATTATTATTTGGAACTGGCATAGTAAAATAAAGGATCACAGTATACAGAGCTTAAAATCCTGTACCAGGAAAGAGCAACAAGTGGTTTACAAGGGGATCATTGAAGTATATTATCTAATTTTTAAAAACAGAGATATAAAATACCAGTTGCATAGGGATTTAAATATAAGGCCAAGCAGGAGATTAAAGTAAAATAGAGATCATAAGAAGGGCACTATGGTGTCAAAACGTAGTATTTCCATTTGAATTAATGTCTAATTCAAAATCACAGTATTTTGCTAGTACTACAAACAGTGAATGTCAAACTGTCCCATTAATCTTGAACTGAAAACTGACATTAGAACTTCTAAAGAGTACAAAACTAAAGCTCATTGTCTAAACCTGATCAGTGTATTAGCACAATAGTGCTTGGTACGTACCTGATTTATATACTCTACCTTCTGTAAATAATATAAAGGTTATTCCTTGTTAATAAGTGTGAGATCACAATATTACTGCATGCCATCAGTGGTTTGCAGGCTTACTTGATATTTAATTATTCAGTCTTTAAAAGTGTAAGATCCCACCCTGCAGAATCTTCACTCATTGAACACAGAACACTGTCATTAATAAAATACAATAGAAGTTCCACCACTAACAACTAACATATAAGCCAGGATTGTAGGTCTAAACCCAGTACAGTTCATTATTATTAACTCACAGCAATTTTTGTTAGGAAGGTAACCTGTAGACTTCCAAATAACCTTGCATGTATTAAATATAAACAAGTATGTAACTAACGGTCATCTCTTGGCATTTCAAGTAGATTATTCAATTGTGAAAGTATTTCCGCAAAATCAATTTTAAGTTGTTAAAATGAAGTTCAAATATTAATTTCCGTATCTACATGTAGCTTAATTAACCTAAAAACGTAAGGAATAGTAGTGTAAGGAAAAAAAAAATTCTCCAGATGAATTAGGCATTAAGGTACACTAACTGGCAATACCTGAACCAACATTGTAACTGAAAAAGTGCATAAACATAGTAATACTACAAATGTGTTAACTACAGAACAAAAGGTTTTCTGAAAGCTAAGCGATACTATTTTACACGTTATTTACAGGTTGCAATTTTTCCAGAGACCACAGAGCCAATTTACGATCTTAAAATTCCTTTGATATATTCGAAGTGTCCTTTGGCTTCCATCCTATTCAGTCAAGAACCTAGTCACACACCAGTGAATCAGGTACTGTACAGTCGAACAACACTGCCATTGTGGTTCTGTAATTCTTCAAAATTCACTCCTTTCTGTTCTTTGAAGAACAAGCAGTATTTTCATTTCACGCTTTTTGTAGGTGTTTCAGATTCTGTAGACTGTCTCCCATCAGTCCATGCCTCTCGTGTGCTCTTCAGTGCTAGCGTTTTCTGCTGGTCAACCACAACGTAATCAACTCTTTCATCTGCCACGCTGCTGCCTGAACCACTGCTCTTTTTCTAGGAAAGGCAAAGGAGAGCGAAAAACATATGTTAAAATAAATTAACAACAAAAAGTAAGTAGATATCCTAAACAGATAGAGAACAAGCACAGGTTTCTCTGAAAGGTCCAACATAGCCTCTCTGATTGACCATTTGACAAACTAGTTAAGATGATCTTGCTGGAGGCTCCCTCTTTCCCAGCAACTACTTGTGAAGAAATTTTAAACTCTCGATGGCAGAAATGCAAGAGCTCAAGATCTGCTTACCTTACGAGGTGGGGTAGATTTTCCGGAATCTAGGTCCAGATCTAAATATTCTACTTGTTTATCTCCTTTAGGTTTTACCATAGGGCTGCTTCCCCCATCAAGACTGTTGCTTCCAAACAAATTCTGAAATTATAATATAAGTAACTTCAGCTACAAATGTATACGCTAATGCTCCGTATTATCAAATATGCTTATTATAAACTGCCAAAATATTAAAGGTTAAAGAACTGACTGAGAGCTCTTACAATCAGTTAAACCATGCAAATTTTATTGACATTGTATAACAAGGGGATATATTGGGGGGGGGGGGGGGGGGGGGGGGGAACCCAAAACCAACCCCCCAAATTTACGGTTGCCACCAAACCAATCTGTGCCTTCCACCTAATGTCCCTTTCGTATCATGAGATAAGAATGGAGTGTGGTTTGTTCTTTTTAAATGAAGTCGTTACATCTCAAATTTAGCATTACTTAATTACAACCTTTTTTATTTTCTTAAATTGCTGTTAAATACCTTAACAAGAATTTCAGCCTTACAACAGTGGCAAAACTTCAAATGAAACTTTTACATTTCATTCAAAAGCCATCACAATTAAGTTGAAAATCAAAAAGTATTATTCAGTTGATAAGACCAAAAGATTAAAACTTTGGAAAATTTGTGGAGGGCTGCCTGAACTGAAGTTGCATTGTATATACCTAAATTTCAATTAGCCCAGACTTTTACAACCTCACCTCCTCTGTCCTCTCCCAGCCTGATCCCTCCCTCTTAACAGGTGTTATAGGAACAGTACAATAGAAGGACTCTTCTCTAAAAGATAAAGAAAAAAAAGGAAGACAGAGGGCAGCAGTCAGCAAAAAATGAAGAGGAAGGCAGAAGGAAAGACAGAAGGGTAAGGCTGACAGCAACTTGAAAGAAAAAGCAGAATATTGCTGAATTTATTAAATAAAACAGAAGTATGACATGTCCAAACAAGATGCTTCGAAGCTGATGACAGAAAAAGATGAAAAAGTATGGACTCCTTTCTAAGATACAATTGGAACAAATAAAAATTTCCAAAACATCTAGGTAATTGGCTCATTTTAAAACAAAGGCCTTGAGATATCTGGAAACGTTCAGGTTGTCTAGGAAGTAAAATATTTTATGGGTTAAAGCTTAATGGACTGGGCTTTGTAAATTGAAGTTATCCATTACATCTGTACCATCCAACCCATTTAATATTAAGTGGTAACAAGGACAAACACAAACAACTGAGACAAAGGTAATTTTTCTTGCCCAAATTCTCTAAACAAATTTATGCGTATTTAACATACAAAAATCAGGTTCCGTATCAATGTTTCCAGCATAAATAAAAAAGCTATTACTCTTTAAACAAAAAATAATCTGTTATTTCAAACAAACTAGACAGGCAGAACATATGCATTAGAAAACAGAAACTTTAAATATACGTAAATGAAAATGAAAGGAAATCTGTAGAACAACCTTAAGGAATGAACGGTGCAAGCAAGCAGAAGATATTAATGACAGGCCACCTGAGCTGTGATATTAATTATACCATCTTGGCACTGAAGTTAAACCCCTGAAATGGCATTGTAAGAATCAACAGAAATCCCCAATTTGAACTGCGATTCTGCTGCAGGCAGAACTGTAGGAACAGGTGATTCCAAACCTTTGTGTAAAATGGGACGTTTCTTGCATTCATAAAATGGGACGTTACCGATTACTTACCAATGCCTCTTGCAAGAGGGGGGCTAAGTTTTTACATCATTGGCTCCCCACTGCTGAAGCGCACTTCACCTGGGAAGCAGGCCTGCGCTGCCGGCAGGTCAGACACGGTGCAAAGCACACACGCAGATGCTCTGCAGGCTTCGTGAGCTTGCACCAAGTCCGAGCTGCCGCAGAGAACTCAGGGGGACCTAAGGGGCAGTATCCAGAGGCAGCAGTGGAGAGCTGGAGGGGAGGGAGGCTGGAGGAGATTGGGGAGGGTACCCAGAGCAGCAGGGGATGGGGAAGCAAGCAGCACTGCCAGAGGAGAAGAGTCCAGGGTGCAGTGAAATGGGCTAGCACATGCCATATAAGAAGGCAGACAAGCAAACAGAACAAAGAAGGTGCTAGACAGGCCCTCCCCAAAGAAGGTCTTTCATAATGCTTTAAAGATGAAAAATGCTGCCGTATTCCCTACTAAGAACCCAAGCTGTAAAAATGTGGTGAATGCATTGAGCTATACTGAACAAAAAGCTGAGCTAAAGAGACAGGTTTTCCTCCAGTGTTTTAGGGGTATTCTGGACCACATTGTAGTTTAGGCCTAAGTCTACTGCTACTCTTACTTTAAAATACTATTATCGGTTCTTCTTTTTCTCTCTCTCCTTCCCCCTCAACCAAACAAAAACCACAGCACGCATCATTAACTTTTCCTAACTAGGTCTTCACTTACTGCACTGCAAGCTGAATAGCTGAAACTTTATTATCTGAGAAAATTCTCCCCCAAAGGGGAAAAAATAGATATATTCCATACACAAAGACCCCTTCTATCCTTTTTGAAAGAAGCCTAATAAAAGTACACATAGCTAAGTTTTTATAGAATGTAAACAATAAATATAAATCCTTTTTTTCCCCTTGTTCCTTCCACATTTCTTGGAAGATGTCCTTTTAATAAAGGTTTTTAAGCCTGTCTCAGAGGTCTTTAGGCAGTTTATTTCCCTTGATGTCATAATACTGAACTGGTGCATAGCCCAGGACAAGCAATTACAGACAAGAGGAGACAGTTTCTAGGGAAGCGGAAAGAAAAAGTCATGTATTGAGCTGTTTTGTACAATAGATATGTATACTAACCATTCTCTTTATGTATGATTATGCTCTTAACTTCTTCAGTGAAATCTTACCAGAATTACAGTTTTTCTACAGAGGTTTTTTTTTTTTATTATTATTATTATTATTATTATTATTATTTTGATCTAGAAGCATAAAGGAAGTGATGTTGAGTGGAAGGATTTGTGTTTGCATGATTTAAAAGTAAGGACTGCACAGGAAGAGAGTAGTTAAGACGTAGATTTTACATACTGGCTCTTCAGTGGACTGATTTGGATTCATGGATACATAATTCTCTTCACTGTCGTGCGAGTCACTGCTGGAAGTTGTGCTATGAACTGAATCCGGTCTGGGAGACATGGGAAACCTGGAGGAGCTAATTACCAGGAATTATTTTACAAACAATACATCTCGAATATCTTAAACCTCCTGGTAAACAACAAAAATAAGCATATTAGAGCTGAAATTTTCATTCAGGTTTACTAGTGTCACATTTTTTGATTATACACAGTCCCTTATATTTAATATTACAGAACAAAAATTCATGTGGACACACACTTTGTTTCAATGCATGTGTGCATATATACACACACACGTATACATACACACTTCCAAAGGAAACCTCAATTTGTATTACACAGGCTAAAAATATAATACAGATGTACACATATTTATTAACACTCTAGTCAACGAACACAATCCGAATGAGGAAAAGCTAAGAAACTTACTCTCGTGCAAAGCTTCTGGTGATAGGAGATCTAACTGGGGCTTGTAATTCTTCCCATTCAGGCAGAGGTTTTATTTCTAATGGAGCTGGTTTTGCTATATAAGAAATAAGACAATCTTAAAGTACAGAACATTCCTAAACAAACTTAAATTTAATAGCTTTTCAAAGCCTAAACAAAAAAAAAAATACTATTTTTTAAATAGTAAACACTAGTTAGGAAAAGGAGACACTGTTCAGTTCTCAGAAAGCCATGATATATCAACTTATATTTTTAATCTTTCCAGGTACTGAAAAGCAACATCAATTAGAAAAAAACCTCACAATTTAGGAACTTTGCAAGATATACTTGTATGTAGTAATTCTGTTTTGAAAAGAGAGTGAAAATGGCAGCATCATGTTCTGTCTTTACTCTGCCACGATGACTTGCTGAACTGACAAGCCCAGGATGGGGTTGATGGACTGTTTCAGCTTAAACTGCCAGCAGAGCCAACCCTGGGTACTTTTCTTGGCTCACGGACAATTATTATATGCAAACTCTGCCCTCGCTGCACACATGTGCCCTTACTTATGAAGTTTCACAGCTCAAAGTGTGGGCAGAATCTGCAGCTAAGACTAAGTTTGCAAAAGTGAGAGATGAGCCAACACCCAGGTTCAATTCCAAGAGGTGCTTGGCTTGCTTCGGTGCTTATCAACAGACAAACGGAGTAGCGGCGTGTTTGTGCCATTAATGACAGCTAACTTGTTCTAAAAAAAGGTGCCATTTTTAAATTCCATTTTCAGAACAGAACCACAAACAGAGTGTTAGTGAGAAATGCATTATTCCTCCCTCCAGCTTGTATGGTTCACCCCTCCTAAACATTAGGAAAAAAAAAAATATCACCTATTCTATCATAGGACTTGCGGGGGGGAGGGGGGGGGGGCGGGAATCACATACAGTCAAACTGCTGTCACAGTTTGAATCTCAACTTCGTCCTCCCTAAAACTGTTTTTAGAAAATAAAATGCGATGTCATTGTAATAACACCCCTTCCTCTCCTCACCCCCCATCAGTTTGCTGCTTATTAGCAGATTTACCAAGATCAGATATCAGGCATGTAGCACCAGTTCATGTGGAGTAAGAGCTGGCATAAGTGACCACATGAGTAACTGACAGAAATCAGTTGCTTAGTCAGTGTCGTTGTCTCACAAGGAAAAAGCAGAACTGTACTCGTTATACTTCCATTATACTCACTCTTCAGATAGAGTTTATTGAAAAGTCAGCTCTCTTACATGTTGAACATAAGGACTCACGATTCAAATTTTCTGGATAAATATCAGTCTTTCGTATCCCAAATAGTTTTCTCCTTTTCTCTGTTAAGAAGTCATTATTACGCACTCAGAGCATATCAAGCCTACTCCAGTAATTCTGCCACTTCAACCCACTTGCTCATAAAAAGCTGTCACCACAGACTCAGAAGAGGAACTACAACTCATCTGTCCAAGGTATAAGGTATCACATGAGATAAGAGTGGCAGAACCGAACTTGGCGTAGGCAAGATGACACTAAAGCTTGAGTGACACAAAAATGATCAGCTTGGCTCAAGTCCTCTGTAAAGGCCTGAGACTACATGGCAGGTATAATCGTCGGGCAAGGTGCTGCTCCAGCAGAAAGAGTAAGGACTATCCAAAGGCCACTGAGAAGAGCAGGAACATTTCATCCTGTTGCAATGGGCTTTAACAACCGAAGGTAATGATCAGTAACGCTTCTGTGAGGTTTTTAGCATTATTTGTAATCTGCTCTACTTCTTGTGACTATACCAACTCAGCACCTTCAATAATGCCCATCAGACTAATTGCAATGCTCATTAAGATGCATAAATAAATCTCTGTACTAGTAAATGGTCAGAGGATCAATATTTTGCTTTATTTCAGTGTTTAGCCAACAGCAGGAGACTGAGGTAAACTCTGATTTCAGGTTATTGCCTAACAAAAGTTATTTTAAGCAACTTACAGGTAAGTCGTATATACTTGCTTCTGAATAAACAGACAAAAATAAATCCAGAGTACGAACAGCTAAAACTTAAGAGATCAGAACACCCACGTTAATGTCAAGGAAATGTTTCCATGCACTGTTCAAGCCAGAAAGACTTTAATTCCTTATATAGGAAACTTTTTGCTTGGCAAGGAAAATGCATCCATGATCTTAGATTATAATAGAAGTAAAAAGACTATACAAGAGTTAAAGTTATTCTAGAATAACAGTTTTCTTAATTTTTATTTTACTTATTTTTACAAAGCTCCATATACATACAGTGCTAAAGTACATACCCTTTCTTCTTGTAGTAAAGTCACCTATGGTTTGTGAATCAGTTCGCTCTAAACCATGTGGTTTAGGTCTTAAAATTTTAGGACTTTGACCTAATTGGTAAAAAGAAGACTCTCTTAATAATATTCTATTTGTAACTGGAAAATGGAATTTTGTAAATAAACAGCACAATCCCCTGCAGAAAGGTTAATGCCACAAGCATAAGCAAGCTGCTGAAAGAGAGTTTTACAGTCTAGCTAGGTCTCTCACTAAGGGCTTAAGCACCAAACCAGAAACAAAGAAAACACTGCATGCAAGTAATTTGTCGGAGGCAAGCATAAAAGGTGTACAAAAAAGCTAAAAAGTGCATCAACAAATATTGTAACTGATCATGACTATTAATTGGTTTCAAGTTGCATTACATAAAAAATTCCGTATTTGAGGAATATCTAGCACGACAGGAGAAGAGTCATGTTTCAGATGCAAGCTGAGGTACCCTCAAAGAAATTAAATCCTCTTTAGTCTAAATATTACTTTGGAAATAGCGATACTCCTATCCACTGTGCGTCTTCCATTTGAGAAGTACCAAGAATCTTCTTCCACACTGTGTTTGTTAAACTTGTTCCCCAGAGGTCTATATCTGTCTGTACCAAAAACACCGCTCCGACCTTGCAGCCACAGGGGAACTTCCTTTCCAAGCTCCCAGCATACTGTTCCCCTACCACAGCACAACCCAACCTCCACCACAAATGACCCTGTCATAAAATTACATTCTCTAAACCTTTTTTTAATTGTATATACCTATATACAAGTGCAGTAGATGCACTAATCATTCCCCAATATGTTATGCTATCATGCTATCATGTTATTAGCATAACATTCCCCTATGTTATGCTATAACGCAACATAACACTTTAGATGAATCTGGTAACAAGGTGAAGAGTACAAACTAAGAGAATATCAGAGTCAATAAGCTCCCTACAGGCAGTAATATACTGCCTCTCCCAACAAGGAATTTCTTAGCCAACTTAACCAAACTCTGCAAGTGTTTCAGGTCACACTATTTTAAATAAATATGATCAATAATGCATAATAACCCCAACCCTTCATGAAAGTCTATCTGACAAAGTTTTAATATTAGAAAAGGTGAGTGCCTTCAAGTGGTACACCAAGAAGCCATATGAAAGGTAAATCTTTACAATAAGCCAAAGGAAAAGTTTAAGTCTGATTATGTTAGAAAGCTGCCCTACAGCACAAAATGGAAAAGGACTGGCACAGGTTCAGATGTGGGCTGGTACTACCAGCAACGAGCGAGAATGCTTTGTAAAAAAATAAACTTGGCAACAAACACCAGCAGTTTGCAAATCGCTACCCCAAGGGTTTTGCATGTGAAGTGCTCTATTACTGTTATCACTGAAGTATTGGGAATAATCAAGTAACAGCAAGAAAGGTAAACAGAAAGGTTTTGTACTGTATCTTAACTTCTACACAGTGCTTCTGAGAGACCATGCAGGTAAGACAAAATTTATTTATTTACTAGTAGTGCTGCACAGCAACTTCTTTAAAAAGAAAACGACATGAAATCGTTTTCACATAGACAGTTCTTTTCCAATTTCAAAATCAGATGCTCCCTTAAATGGCTTGAAGTGCTGATGAAATGACCAAGCAGTTGGGCAATGCTGACCAAGGATCCAGACTGTAAAGCGGCACAAAAAGCAATTCTGTGAAGTATGCTGTTGACTGGAGCTAAGTCAAAAGCATGACCCAACATGTTGGCATAGTTCATTCTGAGCTGATTCGATATTCTTAAGTATCTTGCCTACAACTCTATGATAAAAGCTTGCATATATAAAAAGACCAAGATCTTAAAATCGATTGAATAAATGTAGGAGTTCAAATTCAAACACCTTTATTTAGAACAATTTGATGCTGAATATCATTACCTAATCATATTAACTTTGTGTTCCACAGTTTTATAATTGGATTTCAAAGAAATCTGGCCCAATACAACTCAATTTAAAATGCCAATCAATGCACTGACATACAAGCACGGATTGTAAGTACGGTGAGAAATCTAGCAGAGGTAACACGGTTAATGAAATTATTCAATCAGTGTGTACTTTATAACCTCTCTGCTCTTATAGCCAAACATAGGCTGAAGTGCCTGTAACACATAATACAGAAGATAAGCGCCAGGAACTCAGGGCTATGACTCATTATTTCTACTTTTGTTAATGATGCTAACATGGTCTCGTGCAGCTAACCTTCCTGAACTAGGATTATCCCCATTTTTAAAATGTGGATATTATGTAATTGCCTGCCTCATACCTAATTTAGCACTTATAAACCACTCTGAGACTTTCAGAAGAGCTATATAAATAAGTACAGGTCCCTATAATATTTCTCTTCTGCATCAGACAAGAACATACAAAATGTTCCAGCATAAAATAAACTCACTGAGCTTTCATCTCTTGTTGCTGAAAGACTGTTCAACCTAAATAAATTTGGTGGCAAAACAGCTTGCTGCTACCAACCAGCCAGGATAATGCAATTCCTCCAGTTTAACGTGTCACAGAGAATTAAAATGTTTGTGCTGTTGGTTTTTTTTTTCCCCCTCCCTACAAAACAAAAGCCCAAAGGCCTAATCTCTGTTGAGGAGCTTATACTGCGCAACAGAGACCTGACACCAGGCAAAGGAAAAGGGGGTGGGGTGTCACAATCACAAAGCCGAGGTTACTTACTTGTGTCTGTAGTACAGAATTCCTCCACCCCGTTTTTGCCCATTTAAGAAGATAAAGTAACACAAGCTAGGGCACAGAAAGTCCTTGATAATATCCTTTACTCCCTCAAAAGGCATATTTTAAAGACATCCATCAGAAATATTAGAAGTGCCATTTCTTTATCTAAAAATCGGCAGTTCTGTCACTGTCTTAAGCCAGATCTGTGACGAGAAATACGTGGTTTTTTTAGAACTTTATATCTTAAGTACTGCGACTGAAATTCCTGGTGCTGCTCCCAAGTAGCCTCACTGATTTTCTCTGAGAGCACATCCTAGCTGAATGTAATACGGAGGAGAAAATGCCTCACTGCCGTTCAACAGACTGGCATCCAACATCTATTCTATTCAGAAATAATCAATAAAGTGTCATAGGGCCATTCTTCAAATCAGCTTAGCGAAGGTGCAAGGACAGTAGGAGTTCTATGGAGCGCCTGGCTCCAAACAGCATTCCAACACCAGCAATACCGAGGAACACATTTCCCGTGGTTTAGGCCCACAGGCCCAAATTTACCTCATCCAATGTTCAGGCACTCACGTAAGACAATGCTTTTAACCTATATACCTATTCTGGGAAAGATAAATCTGGGTAAAAAACAAAAAAATAGGTTTTATATATATGTGGTTTTTTGTTGTTTTGTTTTTTAACTGAAAAGGAAATAAATTGTGTTGCAACACCACTGAATGCAAACCTACAGAGGAAAAAAACCCAAATAAATTATGGCAAGTGAAACCAACCAAACAAGAAGTGAAAATTAGATGTTTTCATTGTTCAGTCAAGTCACCACCTGTGAAATGCAAAGTGCTACAGCCAGGATGGAGAAGCTCAGCTTCTGCACGTTCTATCAGATGAATACTGTGCACTCTGAGCTGAAAAATCACTAATGAAGTCTATTTTTCTAACAAATGGCTGCTTGTAAAAACTGCCAAGCAGAACAAGCGATTACGGATCTAGCGTTAGAGTGCACTCAGACAGCACGAATTCTGCTCCTGGCATTTCGGTGTGTGTCAATGCTGCCTTTGTCTGAGAAGTCATCAGGAGAAGAGTCCATTTCACATGTTTGGTTTTGTTTCAAGTAACGGTTCAAACTGAAAAACCTTTTGGTTTTTCCATCGGCTAATGTATTCTCTTCTTGTTTTCCATAAAATACTTGGAATATAATGTTGGGGGGTGGGGGGGAGGGGAGGGGTCCCACTGCAGCAAATTCCTGCATCAGAGTAGGTGGGTCCTAACATTTTTTGGTTTTGAGGATGTAAGCCTCTCACTGAAGAGCCTCATTTGTTTTCAGGCTATCGCCTTGAAGCACTAGTACTAAACAAGACTTCTGTTAGGAACGCTTCTTTTCTGACTGCCTGCTCGCTCCGTGGCTTGCTGGCAAGGGATTTTACGTCAGGAAATTGCAAACATCCTCATGAAAGAGGCCAACGCTCTATTTAAATACCAGTTATTTAGGGCTTAAAATTTTAAAGTAAATCTACTAACGTGACATAAAATTTAAGAAATGTGTGATCTGTTAATGCTGTTTCCTGGCCAACAGGACTAAGCCTCACGAGACAAGGAGATCAGACGTAGGAATGCTACAGCAGTGCTTTACTTGGAATAGGAAGGAGAAAGCAAGAGGCAAAACCAGCCACATAAGTGCCCTGCATCCACAAAAGCACTTTCAGAGAGACATAACTAACAGCAGTTCCCCATTTCCATTTAAAAATATGCATCTTTCCCCTTTTCCTCTGTAATTAGAGGAAACTGAAGTTTGCACCAAGGTCCAACAATTCCAGTACTCAGAACCACTGTAGATTTTTCCTTAAAAACAAGGCTGAAGCTCACAGTCTTACTCCCACAGGGTTTATTATTTGGTTTTCAATCCTGCCGAATAACCCCCCCCTTTCCTTCTCTTCCTCACCCCAGTGAACTCCGATTCCCGAGTACATGGTCTTCAGCACAGAGCTCTACAAATATCCTGAATTTGCTTTTTCATCTCTGTTTTTATTAAGACTATTTCCTGCCAAGGTACTTCTAATTAGAAACATGTATTTAGTTATACAACATTCATATCCATTTCCATACTAGTATCCAGTGACAAACAGGAATATCAATAATGTGCTTAGTTCTGGTCAGTGATACCACAGGGATGGCGATAACTACAGTCTCTTCAAGACAGTAAAAACAAACTGAAATCAATTTATTCTTTCACTATTATGAAATATAAAAAACAGTCATCAAAAGAGAGGCTCTCCAGTTTTCTTAGACACCTTTATCTTCTCAAAATAACTTCTCTCAGAGCACTGGTACTTTGAATGCTCCAGAGATTAAGAATGAATTGGAAAAAATAGCCA